CATCGACGAGCACAAGAAAGTAGCGCTCACCTCGCGGTACGGGGACGGGGGCAGGGCCCCAAACGTCCAGGTGCAGGGTCTGAAGGGGGGCAGTAGAAGGGCGCAGCGAGGAGGAGTGAGGGGAGCGGCGGAGCCGGCCCTCGACGCAAGGCGTGCACGGTGGCGCAGTCGAGGGAGGAAGGGCAGGGAGCGACGCAGGGAGTCCTAAGACAAGACCGTGCTGGGACATGTGACGCAAACGTGGGAGTGCAGGGTGACCTAGACGGTGGTGCCAGAGAAGGGACGGGTGAGTGAGGGACCGACACGAGCAAGCTGCAGCGACCTGGGAGGATGCACCAACCGGGGGGGAAGCGGAGTCTAGGGTGAACAGACCGGACACCGGGTCCCGGGGGAACGTCGCAAGAAGGGAACCTGAGACAGACTCAGAACAGACAGCGATCCGCTCATGCCTGGGGAACGTGGTGGTGACGCCGAGGTCCTGGAGACAGCCGACACCAACCAGGTTCCTCGAGAACGAGGGAACGTGGAGACCTGTAAGGGAGCCCGAGGGAACTGCTGGACAGGGAAGGGACGTAGAACTGCGAGCGACGACAGGACCCGCAGAGGGGTCAGCGAGAGAGACAACAGCAGGCGTAGCAAGCGGCGTGAGCGCGGAGCGGTCGCGGAAGAAGCAGGCAGAGGCACCAGAGTCGAGAGTGAAGGACAGAGAAGCATCGGCGGAGGCCGGGAACAGAGGCGGTGCAGAGACTAGGCTAGGCAAACTAGGCAGTCCTACGCCTGACGCAGCAGGGGAGGCTAAGCTACACAATGGTGCGACACCAAGGTTACAGTACACAAGGTAATAAGATCCAGCAACACTAGAAGCGTCAGAATACAAAGCATGCAAAGCAGCACCTAGCTGATCCATGTCTAACTCAAAGATCGGCACGCCCTAGCGGAGCAGGCTGTGCCAGTCGGGGAGGTCCGGGGCCGGGCCAAAGCGACGACGAAAGAGATCGTCGAGGCGGCGGAAACAGCGGGCGGTTGGGTGCGGGCGGCGGCACAGAGTGCCGCGGAGAGGCCGGGTCTGAAGCTGGTACTGGCAGGTCACAGCACCGGAGCTGCCGGTAGACGCCAAGCTGCGCGGGCCACCACCATGGCCACTGCCTCCGGAGGTGCCGGGCCAGCCAGCCGGGAGACGGGCCCACTGCTGCGGCGACTGCTGCTGGGACGGCGGCTGCGGCGGCGGCTGCTGCTAGGGCTGCTCCTGCTGCGGCTGGGGCTGCTGCTCCTGCCCACCGGTGGTAGTCCCGTCAGGCGGACTACCGTCACAACCACCACCACCACCACTACCTGCACCACCACCCCGACCTCCCTGACGACCACGGCCACCACGGCGCAAGCGCTGCTGCGGGTGGACCGCAGCAGCCGTCTCGGTGAGAGGGGTCCCCGTGGCAATTGCAGCCGAAACGTCAGTGAACGTGCACAGGGAGGGGGCACAGCCGTCAAAGATAGAGAGTGCCGGCGCACCGCTCGACTGAGCGATAGTGCGCTGGCGAGTCTCAATCTCGGTGAGGGTATCGACAAAGGCGGTGAGGGTGAGATCACCCGGGTGCTGGCTAAGGAAGTGATCGCGAGCACTAGCGAGGCGGTCTGGCAGGTGCATGGCGATAAATAGAGCGTCATGCAGAAAGGGGGGGGGAGCGCAGTGAGCTGGGCAGCAGTGCTGGCAGTGCGATAGCGGGTCTCTAGGGCACGAAGGTGAGTGGCAAAGTCTGCGACGGTAGGGAAGGCTGCAAGGTCTGGGAAAAGCATAGGGAAGAGCAGGCGGCCAGCAGAAGCAGACGCCGATGTGGAATAGCGAGCAATAACGGCGTCTAAGTAAGCTTTGGCCGTCTTAATATTAGCAAAGCGCGAGCGCTCAGACACAGGGAGGGCGTGGCTAATAGCAACCTGAGCGACTGCATCGCGAGAGTCCCAGACCGCACGGGCAAGCGCAGCAGTAGAGAAGGTCTCACGGTCATCAGAGGAGGGGTCAGCAGAGAGGGGAGCAGGTGCGGGAGGGCGGGGAAGCAAGCCATCGACATGGACAACCAAAGAGTGGCCATCCTGGCGCTGACCTGTAAGGTGGCAGCGGCGATCGGAGAGCCAGGCGGCGAAGTCAACCGCATGACCCTCAGCGTCCAGGCGGAGCACGAAGTCGGCCATCGTGCATTGTCAGCGGCACAGCTCTACAGCTCCGCAGGAACACAGCTACGCAGGGACAGGGCGGCGGCACTCTCCAGCACGGCAGCCGCGAGACGCCCCGGCGCTGGCGAGCAGAGGAGACGGAGCCCGAGGTGGCACGACAGGCCGAGCAGGCACGAAGAGGGGCCAGGCGAGTAGTGGGAGAGGCCAGAGAGACGCGGCGGGGACACGCAGGCGCGGCAGGGCCAGGCAGGCGCGGCGGGGCCAGGCAGGCGCGGCGGGGCCAGGCAGGCGCGGCGGGGCCAGGCAGGCGCGGCGGGGTCAGGCAGGCTCGGCGGGGCCAGGCAGGCGCGGCGGGGCCAGGGAGGCGCAGCAGGGCCAGGCAGGCACGGCGGGGCCAGGCAGGCGCGGCGGGGCTAGGCAGGCGCGGCAGATGTCAGGGAGGCGCGGTGGGGCCAGGGAAGCACGGCGGGGCCAGGCAGGCGCGACGGGGCCAGTCAGGCGCGGCACGGCCAGGGAGGCGTGGTGGGGCCAGGGAGGCGCGGCGGGGCCTGGCAGGCGCGCGACGGGGCCAAGCGGGTGCGGCGGGGCCAGGCAGGGGCGCGACGGGGCTAGGAGGCACGGCAGGGCTCAGGAGGGGTGCGACGGGGCTAGGAGGCTTGACGGGGCCCAGGGGGAAGCGGCGGGGCCTAGGTAGGGTACGGGCGGAAGTGGTAGGTGGGGGATCCTAACCTACGCGTGATACCATGTTAAAGTAAGAACTGAATGATCAACTAGAAGTGGAAACCTAGAACAAATACTAGCTGGTTGTACTCACTAGAAACATACCCCAGTCTAGCCTATAACTTGTACACAGCCAACATGTATAAGTTGACATTCAGAGCCACTTTCCTCGCTCACCCGTTTTCGTGAGTTGATTTTTTTTGGGGGGGGGTAAGTCCCTCATGTAAGCTGCAAAGTGGTTGCTCGTGAATTAGACTGATTTATTCGCCCAAATACGATAGCGTTTGCGCTTACCTGAGTACAGGCACATTACGAATTTCCCCTTGCCCCGGCGGAGTATTCGCCAAATGGACCAAGCTCAGTTCAACGAGCTTCGGGAGCAGTTCAACGCCATGAACACACGCATGGCTATAGTGTTGGAGGACAACGAGCGACTTCGTGCAGAAGTTGCCGAGTTACGCCAGGCGGGAGAGGATTCGCGTCAGAATACTGCCGCCGAAGAGGAGGTCGCCAGCACCGGACGTGTCGAAACCGTTTTGGACGAAATCGCACGTGAGGTGTCACAGGAGCGAAAGGACAGTGAAGCCGCAGCAGCAGCAGCAGCGACAGCAACAGCCGCTTGGTCAGAAGCAGCCGTTACTGTAGCCGCACCGGCGTTTATGCCGATCGTGACGACAGCGACGATCAAAACGACAATGCCTCCCCCGTTCAACCCCACAGGTAAAAATACTACAGTTACGGGCTGGTTATTTTCGGCGAAACTTTATTTCAATGCCACTGGGATCACGGCTGATGATTTAAAAATTCGACTGGCTGCATCACTACTGCGGGGACCTGCGCTAGATTGGTGGCGATATACTCTACAGGAGGGGGAGTTTTCGGCAGGCGACACACAGGGTTTTTTTCGGAAACTTTGGGTCTGCTGCCCAAGGGTCAACCGCGATTTTTGATCGACCAAGATTCGCACGTGGAAGGCGTGGGGTACAGCTCTGCGTGAACGGTTCGAGCCAATATCCGCCTTGGACAACGCACGCACGAAGCTGGACAACTGGCGCCAGTGGAGTTCTGTCCAGGATTACGCGTCGGTCTTCATGGCGTTATGCGATCAAATCACCGACATGCATGACTCCGAAAAGAAAGCTCGATTCATTTTGGGTCTGAAGCAGGACATTAAATGCGAGGTTCGACCACGACTTCTGGCGACGTTTCATGAAGCAGTCCGGATCGCAGACACTTTCGACGCACATCGAACGTATGCGAGAGCGGGTTCCCGGGAGGGAAATCGTTTTCGTGGCCAGAATCCACGGCCCACGATTCACGGCGTAGTGGCGAGGGGGCACATGGAAGATTTTCGCAAGGGACAATGTTTCAACTACCACCAGCCAGGTCACCAATCTCACGATTGCCCCCAAAAGAAGCAGATAAAGAAGAACGACGAAGGCAGGTCGGGAAACGCCAAGCGTCAGTAGCAGTCGGGCCCCCTACTGACCCTGCCTCATCGCCCGAAAAACACCATCCCCACCGAGTAGTGGTTCCGATACATGCTATCAACCGCTCCTGGCTGAATAAGGGGGATGACCCAGTGGACCACCCTGTACTGGCGGAGGGACGACTCAACGGAAGAAAAATAAAAATATTCATCGATGGAGGTACGAGTCACAGCCTGATAAATCGAGAGACAGCACGACGACGATACCTGACGCTGGAGAGGTGTCTGCCCGAAATCGACGCGAGATTGGTGGATGGCACCCCCCTGGCGATACGACATAAAGTACCCGTCGTTCGAATGAAGTGTGGCGAAGATTTTGGTTTCAGTGCGACGATGCTGGCGACAACGCTCGACGACTACGACGTGCTATTGGGACGCGATTGGCTGCGACGATTCAACCCGCAGATCGATTGGACCACATGCGAGTGCACAGTGAAGTGCGACAAAGGCTGGCGAAAATTACCCACGTGGCCGGAAGCAGCGACAACGTCGACACGAGTCAACGCGGTGTGCCTCAAGCGAGCGGTCAAGAATGGAGAGGATTTATACGCCGTCCATCTAACCGAACCGACGGAGCAGAACGAGGCGACTGACATCAACAAACTCTGCGCTTCGGTCCCAGATGACTTGGCGAAAATCATTCGGGAATATCCTGAGATTTTCCCGGACGACTTGCCAAGTGGAATGCCACCCGAACGACCTCAGGACCACAAGATCGAGTTGGAGCCTGGCGCGCAGCCTACTGTACGCACGCAATGGCGCCTGACTCAGCCGGAGCTACAAGAATTACGGAACCAATTGGACTACCTGCTGGCGAAAGGGTTCATTCGGCCAAGCACGTCACCGTTCGCAGCACCGATCCTGTTCACCCCAAAAAAGGACAGCGGACTTCGCATGTGTGCGGACTATCATGTCCTTAATCGGGTAACGATAAAATCGCGCTACCCAATCCCATGCACGGACGAACTGATCGACAACCTTCGCGAAGCTCGCTATTTTTCGAAGATCGATCTTCGCGGTGGTTACCATCAAATTCGGGTGTTCGCTGATTACTGCCACAAGACTACGTTTCGTACTCGCTACGGGAGTTACGAATACACGGTGATGCCGTTTGGATTAACGAACGCCCCCTCGACGTTCCAACTCACTATGAACGGGGTATTCCGCGATCTACTCGACAAATGCGTGATAATTTACCTGGACGACATCCTGATCTACAGCAAGACCCGCGAGCAACATTTAGAAGA